CCGTCGTGTTACTTACATCATATGAGTTAGATTGACTCCTTAGTATGAGGAATCACGATCTTACTAGTTAAATTTTGATTTTTTTTGGGCCCCTTTTTTACATTATTTCTTGTGCACTGACTCGGTTTTGATAGTCTCGGGTGACAACTACCTCTGACAAACTTTGGAGAAAACCCTACCATGGCGCTAAAGATGGCTGCCCAGGCGCCAGTCAAGAGTAATCGACTCTCGATCGAGGATGATGGGATTGACCGCCCAGAAAATCCTCTCGATGCCCACGATGAAGCAACTTATGGATGCTAGATATCTTCCCTTGCTCAACCAATAAAAATCTAATTATTTATATTAGGACCATCACTTTCTGAGCCTGCTAGCCTAACTAACTAATATTCAAAAGGGTTTTATCAACCTACTCACCGTTACATATGCATATAATGTTTTATATTATGATAATGAATTTAGTAGGTGTTTTATAAACAATATCACTAGTGCTATTTGTATATCAATTATCAAAACATAAGTTATAGGAGTAAAATTTATCATATTCAAAAGGGATAATGTGCATGAAAATTAGAGCTGCTGCATGAATCAATTTAATGTACAAGAAATTAAGTAGTAATCAATGAAGGCAAACATATCTATGCAACTTACTATTTCATTATTGACATTAAAAGTGATCTATGAACATAACAACTAACTAAATAATAGACATAACTGTCAACTTACAAATATCTCGTAACTTCTTAAAACATCAAAGATAATACCCCGGAAAAAAAAAGAGCTGGCTTACTGTCAAATTAATAAAAGTTACTAATCTTGAGTTGCAACTCTTGAATCCAATTACTAGCATCAGACGGGTATTAAGTCAACTAAAACATACAAAGTTTCAATCAATTGCTAATATTTAATTATAGGCAATTATAACCCATAATTATTGAATTAGGTGGTAAGGAAGGAGATTAGAAGTACGAAAAGAGAGGAAGAGGATGAGGGTTCATTGCTGAAGAAAAAAAGAGGGCAAGGGCTTTTGATTGGCTGCTTCAAGGGAAGAAGAAATAAGATGAGCAGGGCTTGTAGCTCATCATCGGTGAAGGGGATGGCTTCTGCGCGAGACAAGAACAAAGAAGAGAGAGTCATTATTTGCAGCTTGGAGAAAGAATGGAAGGAGTGTGTGCAATGTCTTGACTTTTAAATCAAAACCCAATGCTGCTTGATGAAAGAATTGAGGAATTTACCCATGATTTGGATGGGCGAAGGTGGTCTCGAGCCTCTTGCGTGATTTGCTGAACCAATGAAGGGGTTTCATCTTATCAGGATGACGAGAGCCGTCGAGGTTTGCGAGTTGGATAGGGCTGCGACAAGTCTTTGGACTGAATAGTGGTTGGGTTAGTTCAAGATCTTCATCTCACGCTCATCTTTCAAATTTATAATTTTGATTGCAAACTATTTAAATTTTATGTGCATACCATTGAAAATATATGACATGCAAAGTTGTATTTAAATTCTTCATTTGGATTAATTATTTTCAGATTCTGCAAACGAGGAACAAACATAACAAACATCGAGAGTGATTTGCATTTTTTCATATTGTTTCTTTGAACCATGTATCTAATATATAATTTTGATACTTGAATTATGCGTAATCGGGAAATATTTAATAAATGAAATTGGAACATCAATCCTTAATGAGCTTATTGAATTTCTTATAATGGATAAGCTGATTGGGCTCGAAGTAAGTCATCTGAAAGTTTGTTGGAAGTGAAGGTTATGATCTACACTTATGGAGGATATTTTGGATATTTTTGTTTTCCCTTATTCAGGTGCGCATTCTCTTTGTTTTCATGTACATATGAATTTCCTTATGGAGCAACTTGTAATTCTGTGAGAACAAATTAATTTTATTTCTTATAATATAACTAAAGTAAAACATCAACATGTTGGACCAAAACAAAGCCTTGGTTTTATTGTAGGTTTGATGGTTATGAACGAGTGCTTCTTTTGTGCATTATCTGGTTATTTACCGCTAGTGTTGCATGCTATCATTGCATGAGAAAATTTACTGGATATTGTACATATACGATTTCAGTGTGCTTGAAAGCTAAATGATCATAATTTTGTTGGGCTTTAACCAATAATTGATCTTCTGATTCTAGCTATGCAAATCTTAGGGATTTTGACTATGTAAATATTCTGACCTCATCTTAGAAAATACTATATGTTACACCCCTACGTAATGCCTCAGGTACTCTTGATGGATATTGATATTCAACCTACAGTCCAGCAAATATCTCTTAACAATGATGGCTCAACATTGCTTCTTATTGGTTCTGAAGGACTGAGTGTCATGCATCTGCACGAGAGGACTAATACAATTGATGGCAAAATTTCTTGCAGGTATAGTAGGGAAAACTTCATTGTATGTTTTAAGCATAATTTACTATTATGTTGAACACTTGTTTCAAGTGAATAAAGATCAATACCAAACTGTAGGTAGAATAAATATTTAATTTTGCTATATAGTGTTATTTAACCTCTTTTTTTGCTGTTTGAATATTCGGAATTAGTTAGCGTTTCATTCTACTTAAGAACCGTTTTTCTGCTTAGAAAAAGGACGTCTCTTGGTTGGCTTGCTAAGCCTCTATGTTGCTCGTATGGATCCTTGTTTTGTTTCCAGGGTTTATATGGATTATTTCATGTTGTTCCTAAAATTCTGTAAATATTGGCTCATCTGCCTCTCCTAACTAGTTTTTGTGCTTCTATTATTTCATTGTAGGGGATCTTATTTGTTGAGTTGATTAATTCTTGCACTGGATTTCCAGTTTTTCATTTTTCTGACTATTCACTTTCTATTGAATAAGGGCACATAAATTATCATTCGTGTACGAGTATTGTTGATTTTATCTGCTCATCTTTATGCAGTTGTAATTGCTAGGAAGATTTGCTTTAGTTGGACTTGGGTTTACTTGGTTAAAATGTGGGGTCATAACTGGCTTGTTCCCGATGTCATTTGATTTATTGTCTTTTATTGCTCATATAATTACACTTCTAACACATGTGCATAGACCGATCTTCATCGAATCAGTTGGATAATGCCGGTTAAATGGATCTAAAACATTAAAGTGAATTGCTGTCATTATTCTTTTGTTCGTTATTCAGTTTCTATATTTTATGTAGCTTTCAACTATTGTGAAGACTTCCTGTCATAATATAAGTATGTTTGGAGTAGATGTCATGTATTATAAGGCTAATGGAGTTTTTTTTAGCTTTATCTGTTTGAGTATTTTCTGGAGCTGACAAATGTTATAAAATTTCAGGACAGTATTACTTGGTTCGAGACTCTTTTCTAGCTATAACAATGGCTTAAGAATACTTCAAGCGACATGGCACCCTCACAGCAGTAACCATTTAGGTGTTCTGTCTTCAGATTCAGTGTTGAGGTACTTTTGAGCTTGTTGACCCGTGTTGTTGAGTTTATTGTGTGGACTGAACTACCTTCAAACTAGTCAATATTATACTTATTTAAGCTCATTTTGTTATCTGCGAACATTTTTTGCCCTTTATAATGTTGGTTAGTTACAGTTCTTTTTTAGTCTGATCTATTTATTTAATTATTTTTTTGAGACAATTAATTTGTTGCGCTTTAATGATACACATATTGCAATAACTGTATTTAAAAGAAAAAAAGAAAAACTAGATATGTTGGTTCAAATAGAAACTATGTTGATGGCTTCGATAAGGGGAGAAAAATACGTTGTCTCATTTCAAGCCACAAGGGACGATATATAGTGAGAGTGAAAGATAGAGTGGCGAGCAAGTGAGAAGAAGGGATCAACGCTAACTATGCACATGCTGGAGCAGTGACCGTGACGTGATGAGGGCACAACATGATAGGCAGATGACGCTTCTTAAGTAGTGCTCATTCGCGAGAGAAGAAGAAGAGAATGAGAAAGAAGCATTGTGTGCTTGTGCGAAGGGAAGAACTAAGCCGAGCATATTTAAAGAGTTAGGATTTATTTTTATTTTATTGTTTTAGAATTCAGTCTATATAATTGAATTTTAGTTAACCATTAATATGAGATATTGTTGATTATAGTCGCAAAGCGCAGTAGAAAGAAGTCTTTTGGATTGGATTGAGAAGAGTGGATGACCATGAAGAAAAACTATAAGTTAAATGAAGATGAAGTTTTGAATTAATTAATTTAGATTTAATGCTTATACAAATATTAATATTAGATTATATTAATATATGACAATAATTGCATTAAGAAAATGAGAGAGTTGGAAATTGGTGATATCACGACCCCTACCCGGGGTTTGGAATTAATCAAGACGGGAATAGACGGGGGGGTAGCAGGGAGATAGGGTTTT